ATACGGATCTAGACTGAATTCTTTAAACAAATGGCCGCAGTCGGCCATTTCGAACTTGATCCGGAAAAAAAAATGACGTGCATCAAGGTCCTATTATGTTTAATGTATGTACCAAATTGAACGAAATCCGTCCATGCATAACTGAGATCCGGGTCCGGAATGGTGAAAATGTGCCATTTTGATGCATTTTCGGCTTAAAATGGCCGCTATTCGGCTATCGTTAATCGGATCATGAAAAAAATGCATGTGCATATGTCCCATATAATGTGTGATGTATGAGTGAAGTTTGAACATAATCGGTCCATGCATGTTCGAGATACAGGTGATCACGGACGCACGGACGCACGGACGGACGCACACAGGGCAAAACATAAGTCCCCGTTTTCGGACTCCGTCCGAACGGGGACTAATAAAATAGTCAATCCCAGCCAAATCTAGGTAAAAGGGTCAGATTGCGTGCATATAATTATAGATAGTTAAAACAAAAAGTATTTGAACTTTTGACAGTTGTTTAACATCTATGCACGGTTACTAAACTAGTAACCGTGATCTATGAAAACCAGATATTGTTAGTAGTCCGAATTTTTGCACAGTTGAAAATAAAGCGGAAATTCAACAAGCGGTCGTAAAAGCGAGCGATTGAAAAGCGGAAGCGGGCGAGAGGTTGGGCGAAATGAGTTCTGTACTTCTTTGTTTGATGAAGCAATGCTGATGCCACACTGTCGCCATAATGAAGCCACAATGAAGTGAAACGATAACCGCGATAACTTTTTAATGTCGCGACATTGAAGCGATGCTGAAGCCATAACAATGCCATAATGGTGCAATGCTGAAGCGAAGGTGAAGCTGAAGTGAAGCCAAAGCTTCCGCGAGAACTGTACCGCATAAAAAAAAACAAGATGCCTGCCAGTCGACTATCTTTCATCCAATTGTGAAATAAATTGTACTGGACATGTATCCTAACATGTATAATCTATGTACCAAGTTTGAATGACAACTGACAAAGCATGTCCAAAATACAACATTTTCAAAAAACAAGATGGCTGCCAGTCGGCCATTTTGAATCGAATCGCTAAGCCACTGCATGTGCATATGTCCCACATAAGGTACCAGACACATGCAAAGAATAAACGGAATCGGTCCACAGGATTCTGAAATATGACTCTGGACAGACTGACGCACGAACACACGGACTGACAGACTCAGGAACTCACGGACGGTCAGGGACTTGTATCCTAACATGTATGATCTATGTATTAAATTTGAATGAAAACTGACAAAGCATGTCCAAAATACGACATTTTCAAAAAACAAGATGGCTGCCAGTCAGCCATCTTTGATCCAATTGTGAAATAAATCGCCATGGACATATATCCTAACATGTATAATCTATGTACCAAGTTTGAATGAAAACTGACAAAGCATGTCCAAAATACAACATTTTCAAAAAACAGGATGGCTGCCAGACGGCCATTTTGAATTGAATCGCTAAACCACTGCATGTGCATATGTCCCACATAAAGTACTAGGCACATGCAAAGAATGAACGGAATCGGTCCAAAGGATTCTGAGATACGACTCCGGATGGACGCACAGACGCACGGAGACCAAATTATAAGTCCCCGTTTTCGGACTTCGTCTGAACTGTGACTAATGAAAGGATGAAAGATGCATCTAAACAGGGGGAAAAAAAATTTCAGAAGTTGGTTTGATACAGTGACCACTCGCTAAGTCACGCCTCGGTAAGTCACGATTCGGCCAAGTAGCGGGTACTTGGATTGCTCCCAAAATGTCTATTGTGTTTTGAAGACTAATGTCTTGTTGCATAGTGTATTTAACTAACCGTTAAAGAGACAACTTAACACCTACGTCCGTCAATTACTGAGATACAATGGGTGACGGCGGCCTTACTCAAGGTGTCAACAGGAGTGTTGAATAGCAACCGTATGTCCTCGGCTGGTCCCCCTTTGGTATACCTCTATAAAACTCACTACAATGAGTTGAATTCATAATTCTGATCCCTATTTCTCAACTGAGCAGCATGTCTAAGCGAAAGCTATCCAGTTTGTCCGACCATATCGAGAAAAAGTGAAACCAAGTCAAGGGTTGCACGTGATCTAGCAGTGGGTGAGCCCACTATTCGTGGGTGGGTAAAAATGAAGAAAAGCTGAGGAAATTTGTTTTCGAAGTTGACCAAGAGGCAGAACTGAACAGAAAACGTGCGATGACATCGATAAACTTGTTTACGTATGGTTTTTTCAAGAACAGTCTGTCGGAACTCCACTCTCTGGTCCCATCACCCAATGCAAAGCATGCATTCTCGCCAAGCAACTCAGATGTGACGACTTTGAATTTGAGGCCAGTTCGGGGTGGTTGTGGTGTTGACAAAGAAGACACGCTGAATACACAAAGTCTCAATCCAAGGCAAAGCTCGATCTGCGAACATTGACGCTGTCAGAACTTTACCGGAAAAACTGAGAGAATTTATCAATGAAGGTGGTTATTCCGACGAACAACTTTATAGCTGTTACCGTTGAAGTCGCAAGCAACAGCAAACGACCCACATAATATTGGACAAAAACAAAATAAACAACGCATCACTGCAATGTTTACAGCAAACATAATCATGATCAATTCCTATTCGAATACTGCATGACACATGTGATTATACAATATACAATTTGTAAATATGTTTCTAACCTTTCAATTAATTTATTTATCAATCATGATCGTAATGTGTTAATTAATAAAAAAGACACACTATAAATAAACCCATGGGTGTATATGTGCTTTTTATATGTTGCACAACCCTCCCTTTCACTAGGCCCCTTGGTAAGTCGCAACCCTCGTTAAGTCTTGGTTTTTGCTTGGATCCCGATACCCATGACTTAGCGAGGGGCCAATGTATTTTCATTTGTTTTCATACAATCCAAAGCATAAACAACTATAAATTGGTAATATGTATCATCATTTTACTCACCAAGTATTCAAATTTTGCATCAAGATATTTTTTAATTGTTAGTTTTGTATCAGGAACTGCCTTATTGAGGTATGTACTGAGATCACTAAGCATCTGCAAAAAATAAATACAGTACAACATTAGATGTATGTACATAGAAATAAACTATATATACCCGGTACATACTTATAATTTATTGACATGTTATAAAATCAACTCAATAAATAAACATTATATGAACACGCAATTTTTTTTCCTGATATAACAAATGTGCTATTGTCGATGTGTAAAGCAGTATATTGCTATAGATAGGTTCATGACACTCACTGGTTTCACCGTTTTCAACATACAAATACCAAACTTCTCAATGTTTCGATGAGCTTCACCAAAATGCATAAATGCTTCACTGGCTTTTGGCTGTATCTCTCTGGCACCGATCACAGAGAACACATCACCAAAACCTGAAAAATACAACGGAGGAGGACTAAGCAGCTATATAATTATGAAGAAAAAGAATATTATAAAGAACCAAACTGCCAATATTTCAATACGTGTTATTCAATGCTGAACAGTACAAGATGAAGACCAATTAGCATATTAATGATCTACCAATCAGCAGGTAGATAAAATGGAGAAATTCAACATAAAATGAATTCAGGAAGAGGGTTCTCCAAACCCGCCTATTCACATAGTTCATACCCACCATAAACTCCGGTCAGTCAAAATGACTATTTTGAACTGTAAGCATTAATCCGCGATTCTGCCAATGACGAAGAGATAAAATCTAGGTCACGTCACGAACCACGTGACTGAGGTAATGTGGCGACGCCACCTCACCTTGATCTTCACTCTGGTTCCTTTCTCTCTGCACCAAGGACTAGACCGGAGAACCTTCTGCCTAAATTCACTACGTTCAATTACCCACCATAGACTCCGGTCAGTCAAAATGACTATTTTGAACTGTAGGCAGAGTCAGATGCCGATACATGTGTAGGTGGCGAGTTTTCCAAGCAAACAGAAAATGATGAAAGTCTTTTTTCCCAGTCCGAGATGATACACTCATCACCTAGGCAAGACCTCAAAAGAGGGTGGTGTCTTACCGGTACCTTGCCTGTGCTGTCTCCGGAGCAAAAAGTCTGACCCGCTATGACGGGACCCAACCTAAAGAGACCCTCAATGGATTGGGTGTCTCTTAGGTAGTTGTTGATAAAGACGTTCTGCATTCTCCTACAGCCTGCCCTCAGTGAGTGCTTGAGGGGAGGCACAGTGAGTTAGCAATCGCACAGACCTCATGCGCTCGTACGTGTCTCTGCAAGCTCTGTGTCGAGGAAGTATTATAGACCACTAATACAGTCGCAGTAATCCACCTGGTGATGGGAGTCTGGGAGGCCGGCCTATCCTGCCTGCCTGGGCCGTAACACAAAGACATGTGTGCCTGTCATCCCGTCCTGAAACCTTAGTATGGTTTTGGTAGCAACTCCGTGCTCGAACTGGGCAGAGAAGCAATTCCTCCCGAATTTGACAGCCGGGGGATGACGATTGGGTGAGGATTGTGTCCTGGAATTTGGCTATTGGCGAGAAACCTGATTGGTGTCTTTAGCACAACTTAATTGTCCATAACGACGGTACATCGTCCGAGAAGCACAATGCCCCCAGTTCACTCAGTGATGGATTGTCTCAGATTGAGCTGACGAGAATGCCCATGGAACGCAGCCGTTCCTTTTACCCGGTTTGCCAAACGGAAATTCGTGGTACCGGGGTCTGGAGAAGGAGCCTTGGGATCCGTTCGGGGCGTTTTTGTCTCATCCCACACTTTGGGGTCTGATCCCGAAACCACACCGAAAGTGTTGCATAAGATTTACCCCACCCGGGGGCCATAACAGTTACCTCATCCACGGCTGACCAACGTCCGCCCATCGATACCGTTTACACGCCCCACTCAGCACTCGGCCGGACAGGAGGAGACGTGCCGACGGGGTTGCTTTGGATCACGATGCCTGTGATCCCATAATCGGTGAAGCAATCATAAGTGGTCGCCTTAGGATCAAGGGTAGGGGTATTTACATCATTTCACTAGGATCGATGATCACATCACCCTAACGATGTGGCTCACTGAGTCGTTACGAATGGAAGACTCTGAGGGACCGCCCGAGGTACCGGCTGTATCCGACGCAAGCGAACTTCAAATGTGAGAGAGAGAGCGTGTTCGACTCTGTGTCTCATGACAGGGTCGGTTCCCTCTGGAGACACCCGTGGGTCGGTAAGAAGGGAGTCAAAACCCACAGCGGAGACCGGACTCAAGGGTAAAATCCTTGTACCACTACCGTGCGACGAACCCTGGCTGGCTGAAAGTAGGGAGGAGGTGCAACATGTGCCCTGACCCGAAAGCCCTGCCTCAAAATCGGAGGCTGGACTGCCAGCATCTCTGTTGGCATTCAGTGCCCGAAGCCTCAGAGGAGACCCAGTGCAACTAGCCTGAGCCTGAGCCTGAGCCTCCCCCAAAGCAGCGAGAGAGTCGCGGCTGGAAACGGGGGTTCCCCAGAAGTGACATGTTTTGAATGCGAGCGATGCTTTCGTGTTTCTTCCTGCTTGCCCACCAAGGAGCCGCAGTGAAGACAGCTTGCTCCAACTGCGTCTGATCTACCCCGGCCAGGGATGCAATTCGCCCTGACAGTCCTTCGACCAAAGCCCTCATCTCGGAGGCAAACCCGGTGCAGTGCGAGGACGGATCCACAAAGGGACCCGCAACAAGCCCCATAAGAGGAAACAGCCTCGTTGTAGTCGGTAAAATCGGATAAACCACCGCCTGAAAACACAGACTGTGAGGATGCCCTCCGATCAGCAGGGAGAGACCGAAAAATATCAGAACCTGCACCATCAGGCCCCCTACTCGACGTCTTGGTACACGAAGTACCGGTCGCTGAGCGTGAGGACTTTCCACTCATGCCAAACACGCAACTCACTTTAATCGATTTTTACTGGATGCACGACCTGGCTGTGAAAATATGAGCGACGCGGTCAGTCTCAGCGATTTGGATGGCTCTGAAAAAATTTCTCAGGCCTCAGAACTCCAGTGAAAACACACGCCTTCAAGGCAAAAACCCCGAACCCCACACATAGCCACGGCAAAAAGCATTTCGGATGCGGGTTCTATGCTGGTAAATTCTGAATATAACCACTGCACAGTTGTCTCGAAAAAACGAGGAGACTGCAGCGAGCCTCTGGTGCTGTCATTACATCTATCCATTTCTAAATACATTGATCAAGCACAAAATGAAGACGACATGCATGAGGGAAGCGAATTACAGTTGGAAAAGGTGACGCAACAAAATCAACAAGTGATCAAGCTTCAACGCCGGGTTTTATTTCTTTGTTGTGATAAATACTACACACAAAGGGGAAAACGACCTGAGGGTAAAAATGACAAGGAAATCTTATCCTACCACCTACAATGTCGGATGCCGCGGCAACAACCCCAGCTAGAAACCCGGACAGGAAAAGGCAGGCGATCCAGGCAGAGCCGCTAAAATTCATCCCCGGAGAAAAGGAAGAGTGAATACCCGGCCATAATGGCGCCGCCATATGATCTTGGTCACGTGGTTTGTGACGCAAGGGAAAATCTTGGGGTCATGGGGCTTCCCCTGACCTAGATTCTATCTCTCCGTCATTGGCAGAATCGCTGATTAATGTCTACAGTTCAAAATAGTCATTTTAACTGACCGGAGTCTATGGTGAGTAATTGAACGTAGTGAATATTCTAGAACCCTAGGGGGCATAATGGTATGTGAAAGTAGACAGAGCAACAAGATAAATTTTTGGTTCACAGTCAAATAATTATTTTGCAGTTCTGTACAATTTTTATTAAAATTACAATATTCTTTTTGAATAATAATAATAGTATGTCGCAAATCTATCTTGAATATTGAAAGTCCTAATATGTTTTTGTGACTATAAATATGCTACCGTATTACCCCGGGCACGCGCCCCTCCCTGGGCAAGCGCCCACCCCCGTTTTCACAAAAGTTACATGTTGGGGACATCCTCGGTTAAACGCCCCAGGTGATTTTTAGCCAAGAACGGGGTCAACAATAAAGTTTTATTTGTCAAAAACGAACACGTTTGATTTATTTAAATAGTGTGTTTGTTAGGGTAGTTATCTTTTTGGAGTGTGTGGTGGCCCTGTAAACAGCCGTTTTGTTTGTGTTTTTACATAAAAACTTATTGGAACTTAACGACGCAAGATGAACCACGCAGCATGTGGCGCACACATTCTGCTTTCTCTTCATTCACGATGAATCCAATATTGCAATAATCCATACCTTGGTGGGTGGTTTGAAGCACTTAGCTTTGGTTTCAAAACGTAGCACTTCGCCGACTGTGAATCCATAACGGGAGCTAGCTCTTTTGAGACACCACGTCGTAAACTTGCTACTTTCTTTCCATCCTTCATCGCAGCCATGGCATTACGGTCATGTGGATTATTTTTCTGTCGTTGAAGGAAAAACATTTTGCTGACCTCAAGTCCATTACGATAACCATAATGAGGCATGCCGACAATGGGAACTTGTTGCATCATCGTTATTTTTGTAATTTTGTCATGTGTGGGTGCGTGCATAAATCATGTTAATGAGGTCGACCAGTTTATTTTCAGTCTGTTTTTTATGTATCGCCATTTGGATATGTTTATGTATTCACAGTAGTTTGTAAACATTTCACATCAGTAATAAAGGTTTATTTGTTTCATAACCATGTCTGCTATTCTTCAGTAATTACGATGCGAATTATGCTAATGAGGTCATCGCCATCTTGGATTACAAGCGGTAGTTTTTCCCGGCCGTTTCGACTTGCACTTACTAAAAAAGTAATCGTGCATTGATTACAATACTTACCATACTTTGTAGCCAATTTCAGTGAGTAATACAACTTCATTCGCTGACATAAAACAAGTTTTATTCTTGAAATTCAACCCTGTGTCTTAGCGTTCCCACAGTTCTTGACCGAGTGCTCACGTTTATTGAAACCTCGCATAAATCAAGAATTAAGTACAAAGTGTACAAAAGCATTCATTTATTTGACCTTATCATACGATCACAAAAACAACTTTTTAAAATCTTTTTTGGGGTGGACCTCGGGTAAGCGCCCACCCCGAATTTTTCCTGATTTTGTATGTTCAGGCCTCTGGGCGCGTGCCCGGGGTAATACGGTAGTTGTAAAGTGTTTTCTTTCCCTTGTTTATGAATTATTCAGTGCACATTCAGTGTTATTGTGGCTCATGTAAATACAGGCCAAGGTTGTGATTCTAAATACACTTTACCTGTTTTTACTGGAGGGCTTTGCAATGATCACAGACAACACTTACAGCCGTTCTGAGAATTATTCGGACAGTCAGTTAGCAAAATGACTTGCAACTTTGCAAAACACTTTGGTCTTTGCCCAATCTAGACTTGTCGGCGCCACTTGGTTTGGGGTTACTATTTCATAGGGGTTGTCGGCTTGGTGAATTGCAAGTATTATCAAGCGTGCTTTATACAGCAATTATTTTCAGTAATTCTGAAAATCACAAGTTGGGTGTTGCTTAAATCTGTTGAAAAATGTCAACCCCTCGCTCATTTTAGTCAGTTGTACCTGTTACAAAAATGGACTAGACATAATAACGGTCGTTATATCCCGTCATTTTCAAACTGCAGTTGAAAACGTGAATAGATCAAGGAAGGCACTTTTGATTTGACAAAGTCCATCAAGTTTTCCGTCTGTGTATCCCTGACGTACTCTCCCACCTCGGTATAAAATCTGAATTTGATACATAATGCACCAGTAATGTAAAAACAACTTTCAGTTTGGTCCAAAACTACAGCGCATCCCGCTAGGAAACTTTACTTCGAGTCTTCCAGCCAACGACGAGTTACAACGGCGCCATCAAGTCTAGATTAGAAAAGACCCAAGTGTTTTGCAAAGTTCCAAGATATATTGCTAACTGACTGTCCGAATAATTCTCAGAACGACTGTAATGTAAAAGTTTCTCACCTTTATGTGACTGTGATAAATCATAAAAACTTTTTAATAATCGTTTAGAAGAGTCCATCATTCCTTTGTAAAGTTCACTGGTTTTTTCTAATTCATCCAGCTTTTTAACTAGACTATCTGCAAAGACATAAATTAAAATGGTTAAATTTATTAATATGGTACCGGGTAATGTTTGTTTAAATTTACTGTTCCCACTCGCCAATGAAAACACATACTAAATAACCATACATACCATTGCATAAAATAGCTCTACTTAGTCCCAAGGCATCTGCTGTTGATGAACTCATGTTTTCTACCATTCTGTGTTTCATTTTCTTCAATACTAAATCCAGTGTTTTACCCAGCTTTGGATCTGCATGGAGCTTGTTATAATTGATGGTCACCTCACCCTGTCAATGATATAATAATAAATAAATGCGTCATCAAATTTATTTAGGCCAAACCCAAAAAATGGCTTGCTCATCAAATTCACAACTTGAAAATTTTCAAATGTATTTTTTAGGGAGAGTTGCAAGATCGTAGGATGACATTCTGCTAAAATCTGGTGATTGTGTCATGTTTGTGAAATGTGAAAATATAAGATCTGAGGTTATACAGTGGCAAAAGCTGTTCCAGAGCTGTATTTCGCCTTTTGGTTTAGTTCTAAATTTGATACCATTTCACATAAATTAATTTAGAAGCAGTAAAAAGTTGTGTCTAACACATATTGTAAAACAAAATATTTGTTCCTGTTGTGACTTTTAAGCAAAAAAAAAATTGTTTCTTGAATAAATCTGTTTTTGTAGGGGTCTGTCCTCATCAACAAAATCACACTCATAGTACATGTATTGATCCAAATAAACCTGGCATTTATAAGACGTCAACCAACATGCATTACTCTACATGTCATTTTAATTATTGTAAAAATAATACTTTACTAATCATGGTGACTTACTTTAACAGCTTGAATAGCTCTAGCTACTTCCACTTTTGATTTTCCTCGTAATGACTTTCCGTTAACACCCACAATTTCATCTCCAGCAGCAAGGGAACCTTCTTTGGCAGCTGGGGTGTTATCAAACACCTGTACAACATATAGACATGGACAAAGAGGAGCACCGCCACCAATACTGATACCAATCAGATTCTGAGTGTCTTTTTTCAATTGTACACTCCCTGACGTCACAGTCATTCCCCTGTTAATGACAG